CATTCGCCTAGTATACCGTTTGTAGAGAAACCGATTATACTTCCGATAGTTGTTGCTAGCTCGAGAGAACCATCGTTTTGTGAGAGGGGTGGGTGTTTGACAGTATTTTCGAAGGGCTGCTGATCGCAGTCGCTTGAGGTGACGGAGTCGAGCGTTTGACGAAGCGGGTTGTAAAGGAGGTCTTGGTAATGGTACACAAGTAGTGATTAAGCGGTTGACAATCCCAATGAAATTTTCGACAGCCTCGTCGACGCTGGGTGATTGCTCAAGCATTTGCCAATCGACTTGTTCAAGCGCATGAGTCAGTGCAAGAAAGTCTGCTTTGCGGAAATCAAGACCTAGCACATCTTCGGTGGGTTCAAAGCTGATGGGAGCATGAAGGCTGATGGATGTTTCCAACGCGGGGTGATCGGCATCAAGACTTATCAAAGGATCTGCAGCTTCAGATAACGAGCATTCCGGGAGAGCGAGCTCGTTCGCCAGTACAAGGTCAAGCAGTCGAGCATTCCTACTTAAAACGGTGTTGATTTGCGCTAAGCCATGCAGGTTGAAACCATCAAGTAGAGTGCCACATGATGCAGATATACTTAAACGAAGAACATCAACAGTTGGCAGCTGATTGTTCGTGTCTGTATTCCAAATCAAGCCAGATTGATTGTAATCACCGAGTAGCAGAGCCAAGTCATTGTTGTCCAATCGAGATAACACTGCGCCAATTGAGTTGACGTGGTTTTCAATGCAGTTTAGGTCAGATTTTCGGTCCGGTGGTAAGTAAATAACGCCTACGCTAACTGTTCTGCTCGTAGTTTTGATCTTAACCCACAGTTGCTCAAGCGAAGCAGTGATCGGTGTAGGGTCGAGACAGCAATTTAAGCGCTTTGCAACAGCTATGAGTACACCACCTCCACGAGATTTAGTGCTGTTTAGACGGCTACGATCATTGCGAAATACTGTGAATAAGCTACCGAAAAGTTGCGATGAATTGATTCGACCGTCAAGCCACGTTTCGGCAAGCACCACAGCATCATAGTTGCACTCGAGAGCAGCCAGGAAAAATTCATCAATCTTCGTACGTAACCAACGAACGTTTTGATAGTAGATCAGCAGTTCACCAGGTGATCCAGATTGAAGCGCAGAAGTACGTTGTTCGGCTAGTGACGATGGTTGACTACCGATGGATGAATTGCCTGATTGCACAAGCTGGAAGCCTCCCTCACCAGATCCTATCACAGGACCGGGACGGCTGTTGAACGCAGGCTGGACGGTCACGACTGTGAAGGAGGGCTTGAACGCTTCCAAAATACTTTGCGTTGTGCGTCCCGGAAGGCATGGTGTCGGTGACTGTGTTGCATTGGATGTGATGGTACTGTGATAATGAAGGTTATCAGTGCGGATAGTGTTCAAAACGTGATTGTACTTGCCTGCGCAGGCAGTTTGGAAGACCCCATCTCCAAAATCATACACAGGGCCGGGACGGCTGAAGGTCGCTGGCAGGTTAGGCTCGACTGTGATGACAGGATTAGGGGCTTCCGTTCTGCTAAGATCGATGCGTCCCGGTTCCGAAAGCTGAGCAGCGAAAACATTGGCAGGCGTTTTAGGCAAAACATCTTGAACAACAGGTATTGAGACGTCATTACAGCAGTGTTGAAGGCTTCGTTCGTAACATCCAGGATTGGTATCAGGAACTTGATTGGGAATACGAGATGTGGTGCTGAAACTCGTAAATAAATCAGGCGGAGAATTGTTGCAATCATTCGGTAACTTACCTGAATTGAGAGCTTGGAAGACCCCGCCGCCATTCTCAACCACAGGGCCAGAACGACTACGATGACAGGAACCAGCAAGCACGACTGGGTTGAGAGGCTTTGGGGCTTCCATGAGGCAACAGGCAGTGCGTTCTGGTTCGGCGGATCCACGAGTAAGATTCAGCAGCTTATCTCGACATTCTGATGGGCTCGATTTCAACCACTCGGAGCAGGTTCCTCCGAACCGCCAGTTGGCCTATTTGATGCTGATCACTCGTCTTTCGTTTTTTTCATAATTTTCAAACTCTCGAAAGTAAACATTTTCAGGCCACGAATTGCTTGAATGGTTGTTGGTTTGCAGGGTTCGTGCCTTGAATTCTTAAAAATCATCTAGAGAAGTCATTGTTTACAAAAGCAGTTACGCCTAATTCCAGTTCTATCAAGTTATGTTTATATCTAACATACGATGCTCTTGAAGGCAACATTGGGGGTGCAATTTCAAAAACCAAAGTCAGTCGCGGCATGAGAGTGGTCTGATTTTGATCAAGAGATGATGGATTTTTATTCTTAATACGGCAATCGATAGGATTTTTTTCTACGAATCTGTTAAAATTAAGACTTCATTATTTTTCAAAATGTCACTTTTGTTGCTATGATAGTTAAAATTATCACCGATTGCCTGCGAAAAGCGATTTTCCTAACACAGATTTCAAAGTTGAATTCCATCCGGTCTCACCAAACGGTGTTTATTCAATTGCAGTTAACAAATAAGATTTATTATATCAGACCACGTAGTCCTACGTCACCATTGCGTACAACCTCATAGGGCTGTCCCTTGTAGTTTTTTTTTAGTCATTTTAACGCTTTTGGGTTATTCGTGACTTTTCTGGGGGTGAGATTTGTTCATGTGACTTTGGCGTGGTATGAATTCTAACCACTACACCGGGGTCGCCCCCTCGATCGATTACTTGTTTTGCACCCAATACATACTGAATTGATATCACATACGTTGGAAAAAAATTACCGGGTTTTTGAACAGTTAAATATGTTTTATCATTAAATAGTGTTAACTGAACAACATCTGTAAAAATTCACAATATTTTTATCACTGATTTTTAAACTTTTACCAAATAGTCTATAGTTATAAAATACCGACCAGTGGAGACCTGGATTAGTGTGTAGGAGTTACTTCACTTTTACCGCGTATCAAGTCTTTACTTATGAGTCTGCCCTTCGCTTTTGGCTCTTAGTATTGTTGGTGCATTTGGCATGTAGAACTTCAAAATTCCTTGGAGTAACTGCCAACTTGACAGTGCCATGCAGTTCTACATAAATACATACTCAACACCACTCAAGCTGTGAGTTTTTCAATCCACTCCAGAAAACGCGTCAGAGAGGATTGGATGCATATGTAACTCGAGAATTACGCTTTCAAGTTCTCGAAAAATAGATTCCAACAATTTGATCTGGAAAATCTACATTTGGCAAACAACAATCGTCACTTTAGCACTCCTTCGTCGACTGATTCACTTGCAGAAGAAAAATACAACGCTTTCCTTCGGCCACTTTACATATTTTAGCATCTGTAATGAATCGAGTGAAATTGGTTCCTTTCGTAGTTTTCCTAGTTTCAGCGTTGACTCCTGCACGACTAGCGAGAGTAGGTTAGTAACTGAGTTGAATTCAACTCAAAAGTGCAAAAAGTGTGGTTACTTGGGCTAGTTCGTGAGTAGAATTTTCCTCGATTTTCCTTTTATTCAAGTTTTACCTGGAAAATCGTGGAAAATTTTTCTCACTCACTGATTACTCCCACTTTTTACACTTTCAAGTCGAACTCGTATTACTCTCATTGGCCGTGTGTGATATTCCGGACAGCTCCGCAGTAAATATATAGTGCATTCCAGCGCTAGCGAGTGTAAGCAGATCAAGTTGCACTTGGCTCCATGCCTCTCCATCTCACTTGACGTCAAACCATTTGCAGTAGAACATAGAGAGTGATAAACGATTGCGATAGAGGCTGTGCAGTGTGCATCCTTTCACCATTATCGTATTGTGTCGTGTCGTCCTTGATAGCAACAACACAACACTCGGAGCTAACATTTTCCCACTTTAACTTGTTGCAAACGGCAAAGCCACCGCTCCAGCAAACAAACGTAGCTGAAGTTGGAAAAAATATTGTAATTGTTGGTTGGCAGTACCTACGATGTACGGTTGTTGTTTGTCTTGTACCGGAGAGCAGCACTACAGCAGAAAGTACCAGTCTGTGGGCGCTAATGAGTCGAAGGCGAGCTCTGAACTGATGGGAAACTTTTAACGAAATGAGAAATTTTAATTACATTTAAGCGCACAAGTACCTTCCTCCATCCCTACCGCCGCCCGTTGTTGCCACTTGAGAGCTGATGAAGTGGTTGCGATTATTGCTTCTTGGTCTTGAGCCAAGGGCGATGGTTCGTGGGCGTGAGCACTGCAGCGGTTCTGACGCCCTGTGCGATTGGTTGCAATTAGTCGTAATTTGATCTATTGTTCCCGTCGCTTTCAGAGATGGTTCTGTTTTGAAACTAAGCGAAATGATTTAAAAGTTTAGAACAAAAAATTTGATTTTGTTGGAATCCTCCTAGTGTAGAAAATCGACGTCAGATGTATTTTTAATTACGTGGAAAGTCTGCCTCCTCTTGTAGAGAAGAAGTCATAACTCATACATTTGATGTTGTTTGTATGACATAATTATGACGGAAAAGCAGAGTTGAAAAAAAAAATCTACCCCGCAATTATCACATCGTCCAAGTAACAACAAGTATAACGACCATCTAGCAGGCGTCCATCATCCTTATCCTTCTGACTTATATCCTATTCATAGACTCGCGAACACATCACAGACGGGATAATAATGATTATTTCCTTCGCGTCAGCTCATCCAGCCAGTTTCTATTTAGCAGTAATTTCTCACCCCGAGGGTGCAATATTCTTCAGCAAGCAACCTCCCAACTCACCCGCATTCCCCCCACACACATACACATTTATGACGCTGTTTGTGGCCGGTTTTTATTGCAACCGACATTCCACCCGCGCTCGCTAACGATGACGATGAAGTAGATTCTTTGACCTCGCAACCATCCTCCCATTCATAATGAATTCAGCTTCACTGGCGCAGCGGGTAATTACACGCTTCTCACACCCACATTCACTAACTGTGCCCCATTATCATCTCAACAATTCCTCACGGCCTCGTTTTTTTTTTTTTTAATTTTCTTCCAGGAGGTCCCGGACTGTTTGTGACCCTGTGGGTCATTGCCAAGGGCATCGCCATTTCCGGTCTTGATCCAGCGGCCGCGGTAAGTCAACATATTCTGCTCCTCGAGCATCCAATGATTCAAATTAATTGAAAGCCATCATGGCGTGTCATTAATGATTGCCCATCCCGCAAAACATGCTCCTCAAACAAACAAACAACATTTACGTCTTGGAACATCTGGGGAAAATGTTCGTCCGGATAAACACGCGCTAAAGTGATCCAATTTTCTCCAGCGAAAATAACTCGTGGATGGGAGGAGCTCTCGAATGCTAGGGTTGCCAGAGGACACCATTTTTGGCAGCGACGGGTTCGCTTCCTGATCCGGCCGACTTACCGATTTCCCTGTCCACAGAGTATCATTGTCATTGAAAACCGTTTACCTTGGCAACCCTAGCATGCTCCCCCAGCAGGAGGTCGTTTATTACCCAATTGCTAATGAATCATAATGCTCACTCTCCGCTTTGCTAGATCTACTAAAATGGCCATTCCAAAACACAACCCCCCAGCACCGCCTTCTTTCTGCCCAAGACAGTACACAATAAGCGAAACACTCGACTCGAACAAACGGAGCCGACATGACGCGACGACGACGACCTATGCTACATCCATCCATCAGCATGGAATGAGATTTTCCAAACGATTCTAGGGCAACCTCTCATACGCCCCCTCATTGACATTTCCTCCGACGCTGACCACTGACTGACACAGGCCAAGGTGAAATATTGCGATGCTAGGATTTTCGGCCGAATTTGATACGTGACGGCCGTCTTTGACCTCTGCTCGAACACGACGATCAATGAACATTTCTTAGCCCCGGGGAGATAAGTCGGAGCAGGAGGGTCCGTTGAGATTGTCCCTCGAGATGAGGTTATTTATTTTACGTGAGCATATCAATTTGAATTGCCTTAACCGAACCTTTCCGCCTGTTCCCTCTTTGTTTGTCCAATTGCAGCACGAAATCGACTGTTCCTGGATGCGAGAATCGGTCGTGGACTGGATCTTCCAAGGGCCCGTTTGTGCGGTGCTCATCATCAATCTAGTGTTTCTCATTCGAATTATGTGGGTAAGTATACTGGGAGAAGCGAAGGGTTTGATTTTGCTGTTTTGTCGGCCTGGAATGTTCCCTTTTATAGCCGTTTAAAGTTATTAATTGCTTCCGATATGGGATATTATTACCAGAACCGGAAAGGAAACGACTCTGGTTGGAATGTAAATGGCATTCATAAATTTAAGTCCGACTGGATTTGGTTGCATGGCAAAATGTGATATGATAAGAGTTTTGAACTCTAAATAGAATGTTCCTTTAAAATCCATGTACGAAAAAGCATAGCAGTGGTAATTTTTGAGTTCTGTTTCTCGCAAATATTACCAATTCAGAGAAAAATTAGCGTTTGGCGTCAGATTATCAGCTTTAATAGCATGCTGTGGCTGTCAATTGCATCAAATTATTTTCCCTGAAACGGGAATATGCCCAGAAATATTTGCAAGAAGCTGAACAAACCATGAAAATGTTAAGCCTTTCTTAATTTTAGCTTGACCCCAAATAACCTTTATTTTTTCTAAGCCAGATTTCTATAAAAAAAAATTATTGTCCATGAGTTTTGTTTTTCTGAGAATTATGAACAATACCATAACTTTTGATTTTCAGTCAGGAAATAAGGATTCCTTATTCGCGAATAAGGGTACCCACAGATCTCATTTGTTTCAATACATAAAGCTATACTGTTTCCGATAAAGTTGTAGTACTGTGCTATAACAAAAAGTCTGGGCCATTCCTAATGATCCTGGCCATATATTAAATTGCTGTCTTGAGCAAAGTTGTTCAGGTAACCAAGTCTTTTTCGAATGGCGGCCATACTAGCTCAGAACTCTCTCACTACATGGCGCTACTTTTTTTACGTAGTACTACGTCTTTGTGAGCTATACTGGGATGCAAATCAAAAAAAAAATATGTAACGAAATAGTGTTAGGTTTTAAACGCTTATAACTTTGCCATTTATTGATCGATTTGAATTCTTGTTATACCATTTGATTCAGAATTGATGTGAGATTTGTTTGGAACAAAGATTATAGTAATTTATTATATGTAAACTATTGACAAGTGATCAAACTTTTAGGCCGCAATCAATCAATCACGTGCTCGCTTGCTATGACTATCGAGAGAACAGAGAGAGATGACCGGTTGTGAGGTTATGAAAGAGCTTACCAGTACGTTTTGCTTCAGATCATCTGGAGATGTGACGGTTGTAACATCCTTAGACGCCGTACACGGCCGATGAAACTAACTCAAAATTGAGCAGGATTTCTCTCAAAATTGTAGAAAGTGAGTAAAATTTTCCTCAAAAATCTACTTGAAAAAAGAGAAATGTCACGCTTTTTAAGTCTATGAGTACACTAGTCTAAATTACAGCCCAAGTAACATTTTAAGTTTTAAGAAATACTACATAGCAACTATAAAACAACATTCATAAAACCCTGGTCAAGGTTATTTTGTCATTAATGCATCCACTAAAACCTCATGTCTATATGTCTAGTTGGCCCACCCTGGAGATGGTTCTGAAGGGTGTATTCTCGAAGCTCTTCAAGATTGATTTACTGCAAAAAGTTGTATGACGAACGCATTGAGAATCATTTGAAAGCTACAACAAAAGCTATTTAGCAACAATAAAAACCCTTTCCGAGCCATTTCCCCTAGCCGCATGCTGAATCCACTAGGAAATCATCAATCAAGAAATAGAAAAGGATTTATGAATCCGATCTTATCAAAATAATTAAAATAGAAACTGACGGTATAAAAATCTTGTTGAATATCCAAATTTATTACAATACTTCTCTCTAGTTTTAAGTACGTGAAAACATCGAAAAAATTTAGCCCACCCTCGTAAAACGTCGATTTGACTAATTATTTAAAATTGAAAAAAAATATATGTATTGTTCAGATCGAGCTTGGTCGAGATATTTTTTCTTTTTATTATTTTCGCATTAAAATGTTTGCTCATTACTAAATTTACCAAAATATAGTTTTATCTAAGGAAATACTGATTGAAAATCGAAGATTGTACAAAAAACAAGCAAACTAATTGTACATAACCGTGGCATAAAAGTTGATTTTCATGGGTCATTTGTGAAAAGTTGTTTTGCTTTCAAGAATTCCTTAACAAATTAATTAGGTTTTAAAATGGCTTTTATGAAGAAAACTTGGAGACTGAATTGTATTTATCTAAAGCCATTTTGCTTGAACCTAACCCGTTCAGATTTATGGCAGCATTTATGGAGACAAAGTTGCCTGAAAAAAGTTAAAAGTTAAGTCTTTCGATAGTTGCGCTGTGGGATCCAGTGTTCTTCCAGGCGGTTTTCTCCCGATGGATTGGGAGCAGTTACTCAGATAGTTTGCGATACTGTTTTACAACATTTCGCATTTCGAACAGCTGGAAGCACAATCGTTCCCGAAAAAGATTCCCTTCTTCCGGATGGTTACAGAAGTGCACCATCCAATGATGCAGAGATATACGGTTGAATGAAATTTTCGAAGAGTCTTTCGCCGAATAAAATCGCTGCTTTGGATCGGAAACCAGCTAATCTCCGCTAACTAACAGTTTCAGTGGTTTGCTGTTGGTTGTTATTTCGATTGTTATCGCAAGATCTGCAGAAGGCTGGTATGTTTTTATGTGAGCTGGTTCTTCTAAAGAAGTAAATTTATCTGAAATCGATTTTATTTTTTCATCCTACTTCGTCTATCCTTCGAGATTTCCTTGTCATAAATTTGGCATTTACTAACTGTGAGGAACCATCTTTTAACCTCAATTTGTAAACAAAGTAATTGGGGAGTTAATGATGCACTTTAAAAAGGCTAAAAAGCAACAATAAATGCTTTTTTATCTAATGTAAAACCTAATTGTTTTATGGTTGCTTTTATAATGATAGAACACGTTTATAAAGTATTTTAACATGACATTACTAAACAATTGCTAATGACGTTTATGCTTGAATAACAGAACAGTTTAAAGGAGGGATTGATAACTGTTTTAAATTTATTTTTAAAACTTAAGACAGTTTTTGAATTTCTTGCCAGACTATAAAAGGTTTTTAAAACATCAAAAAGCTGAATTACTCAGCAGGAATGTTTTACACTTTAAAATGCTATATTTAAACTAAATGGATTGTTCATTGCCGTTATAAAACCATCATAAATCAGAGTGGATGCTAAATGGTTGCTGAATTGTTACAAACTTATTCTTCAACGTTTCACGGGAAAAACTGAAATCAAAAATACAGGAAATATTGAAATATTGAAATATTGAAAAACTCACAGAAGGCCATGAATTCCACAGTTTGCGCTTTGCGTACGACGAAAAGGCAATCTTATTAATTAGTTATTTCTCAGACTACGCGCTCTTGCCTGCAGAGATCGATGTGCCAGTAGAGTGGGACAGTCATTATGCGCACAGCGTACAACAGAAACACAGAGAGCACTGGATCAGAGACAATGTTTAATAAGAGACGCGCGAAGACTGAAGCCAAAAGTTCCAATCGAACCGTCAAACGCGGTTCCAATCGAGCAATGTAAATAAATACGAGCGCTTCACGAGGAAAGCCAGTATTGGAGTATTGAGATGGCGGTTGAAATTTAATTTTTGAGATTTAATTATAATTAAGTTTGCGTATGAAAAGTGCAATGGGATGCTCTTGGACTTTTGGAATACAAATAAAACACAATTAAAATCTTTTGAGATTATTTTTTTTATATTAAAATCAATGTCAAAAAGCAAATATTAAAAAAATACAAAGCCGCTGTCAAGTTTTTAAAGGGTGATACGGTCAAAATTTGGTCAATATCAACTTGACGTATTTCTTTCAATTTTGCATTTAAAAAACCTGAACACCCCTCATTTTGAAGGTGTGTGTGTGTAGAATGTTGCTCCTATCTTGATTTTGGAATTCACTCTTCAGTTGTCAAAATGCCGTCCAAGCAAGAAGAGCAGCGTATCAAAATTTTGCTCGCGCATCGCGAAAATCCGAGCTACTCGCACGCAAAGTTGGCAAAATCGCTAAAAGTTGCCAAATCAACCGTTACAAATGTAATTAAAGTGTTTGGGGAACGTTTGTCGACAGCCAGGAAGTCTGGATCGGGGGGAAATCGAAAACCGGAAGCCGCTGAGACGACAAAGAGAGTTGCCGGTAGTTTCAAGTGAAACCCTAACCTCTCTCTCCGAGATGCCGCAAATAAGCTGGGTGTATCGTCTACAACCGTGCATCGAGCCAAAAAACGAGCCGGACTATCGACTTACAAGAAGGTAGTGACTCCAAATCGCGATGATAAACAAAATACGACGGCCAAAGCGCGATCCCGGAGGCTGTACACGACGATGCTGACGAAGTTTGACTGCGTGGTAATGGACGACGAAACCTACGTCAAAGCCGACTACAAGCAGCTTCCGGGACAGGAGTTTTATACGGCAAAAGGAAGGGGAAAGGTAGCAGATGTTTTCAAGCACATGAAACTGTCAAAGTTCGCAAAGAAATATCTGGTTTGGCAAGCCATCTGTACCTGTGGCTTGAAAAGCAGCATTTTCATAGCTTCCGGGACTGTCAACCAAGAAATTTACGTGAAAGAGTGTTTGAATAAACGTCTGCTGCCTTTCCTGAAGAAACACGGTTGTTCCGTACTGTTTTGGCCGGATTTGGCATCTTGCCATTACGGTAAAAAGGCCATGGAGTGGTACGCCGCCAACAACGTGCAGGTGGTTCCCAAGGACAAGAACCCTCCCAACACGCCAGAGCTCCGCCCAATTGAGAAATACTGGGCTATTGTCAAGCGGAACCTAAAGAAGACCAAAAAAACTGCTAAGGGCGAGCAGCAGTTCAAGGCAAACTGGCTTTCTGCGGCGAAGAAGGTGGACAAGGTGGCTGTACAAAATCTGATGGCAGGGGTCAAGCGTAAGGCCCGGCAATTCGGATTTGGAAAAGCGGAAGCCTAACTGAATATTTTTCCTGAATTTTATACTAATTGAACTTGAAAAAGAAATTTAATTTGATTTTTTAAATAAACGATTTCACCGATTT